TCTCTCCCCCCCTCATGGCGTGACTACAAAAACCGCTCATTTGATGTTGCCTTCTCACAGTCTCTGACGATGACCTCCTGTATGAAACCGAAAGCTCAGACTAATAAACCCACTGTCCCAGAGATCGCGTCTTCATCTTCTTAACGGAAAAAATTATATTGCAACCGCTTGACAGTTCGACCGTCGATTTTGACGGCTTCCACCGTGTGCTCCACAAAAGGGACCGCGACTTACACGAGAATTAGTTTATGGTGATGGTAGACTTGCGCACCATCTACCGTACTCTCCTATCCCTCCATGTGGGCCCACTGTCAGGACATAGTCAAGAAGGCCGGATGTGGGGGAGGACGCAGGTGGACGGCGCTGCTGGAGCCGCCCCTAGGTGTGCCGCCACACCCGGCTTGGATCCCAATAAGTGGGAATGCCATTGCGGTCACATTAAGAAGGAGGCATTGCAGACTGATCCCCACTTCATTAGTTTGCTACTTCACACAAACACACATTGGGCAGACTGCAAGTCCCGAGTTATCTCGGTAATTGGCCATCTTGCAGGTCGTAGATTTTAGCGCACCGGGATAGCTCCAAGAGCGTCGCACTATTTGTAGTGAGAATAGTGCGCTGAGTCGTCGGCCTCACTCTCTATTCCCACTCCCAGGCCCCAGCCACTGCCCGAGCCGGTCAGAACGTCTGGTGAGAGGAATGCAGTGGAAAGCTAGAGAGCTCGTCTGCATGCCACATACAGAACCTGGACCTCAAACGCAAACACCAGGATTTCATAAAGAAAGGGGACAAAACGCTCAGCTCTCACATGCTGCCGACAGGCCACACGAAGAGAGGAGCCGAAAAACACAATTCCCACTTATATGTGAGATGCTGGTAATGTGGGATTTTAGATGGGTGTATGCGTGGAGCATGTGTCGGTGGGTGAATGTGTGATGATGTGGTCGTGTCAGCGATGATTTACCACAGGTTTTCATGAAAGGCCATGGGACCTAATAAACTCATGCGGTGTGTGATAGTGCATGGACAGAATGGGCGGTTGAGGCGGGTGCGGGGGCTGTATGTTGATACTTCTGGCACAATTTCAATAGGACACTCGGTTCCCACGTGCAGCCGAGGAGCCCCACGGAAAAAGGGACGAACAATTCCACTTCTCACTTACGTGAAAGGTGTCGCAGGCGCTTGATGTTGGATGCGTGATACATGTGCTGATGGAGGAATGCTCAGCGATGTGGTCGCGTCTGAGGTGATTTAGCGCAGGTTTTCATGAAGGCGCATGGGACCTAATAGGCCCATCTGGCGAGCGAATATGTGTGGAGAGCAGGGTTCTCATAGTCTCACATCTATTTCCCTAAACATACTGAACTGAACTGGACGGCCTGGCGAATGGAGCCAAGTGCGGTGGGTGTATATCGATGCTCCTGAAACCTTTTCGACAGGTTTTGTGCGATGGACCGGCAGATGAACGACCAGGCCGATACGTGATGTACATGCACGGCGGCAGTAAAGGCAGGATAGGGTCGGGGTTGTAGAATCGGTTGGGGTGGTGAGGCTGTTAGTCGTGCTCATACTGGTGGATGGAATGTTGTTAGCGCCGAATATAGAAGCGTTTTCGTGCATGTGGGGTGTGTTTGGGGTGTCGATAGTGCGGTGAGCTCCGCGTTGGTGGGTATACATATGGCCAAATAGACTCGTGTGATGAGTGAGTGTGCGTGTACTGTGCGGGCAGAGGAGGCCGGTGTATGTTGTGGCTCTGGGCACTGGTGTACTGGCCACATTGCGATAGATTTGCACGTGACCGACCAGACCGATGTGTGAAGTGAATGTGCGATCACAATGAGGACATGTTGGGACCGAGTTTATATCGCTGGAGGTGGGGGTGGTGACGGTGAATGTGTTGGCGATTGAAGAGGCGTCAGGAGCGTTTTGGTCGGTGGCGGGTGTGATAGAGGTGGTTGTGCTTGTCATCATCGCGGTGGTTGTGGCAGTGGTGATGGAGGTGGCAGTGGTCGACGCTGGTGGGGCATAGGAATTCGAAGCAACGGTGGTTAGGGTGAGCGCCACCGTGCGTGACGTGGGGCTTGGAGCAGGGGCAGTCGTGGAGGCAGCAGTTGTGGTTGTCAATGGGTTGGTGTAGTGAGTCTGAAGATGACCGAGTAGGCCAACCCACACACGAAACGTTCGTTGACAAAACGGGCATGTTGGATTGGATTGAGCAACGATGTTGCGAGCTAGGGGCGTCTGAGACTTGCGGGCTTCTCTCTTGGCTTTGACAGCGGAGATTCGGTTTGCTCTATATATTGTTGCACCAGTCTTTACTGCTTATCTCCTGGCCGGTCAGTTCTGTGTGAGTACCTCCCATGTCTGCGGGTTGATCCGCAGACGCTTTGAAGATTTCCTCAGAGTATCATTGTAGCGTCGCTTTTTTCCTTCCAGTTTGAGAGCACCATGGCGACATATCTGTAGAAGAGTTGTTTGGGTAATCGCGCATAGTCCATCCCACCAGGTGGCCGCTCCATCGCAGTTGTAGTTGTTTCAGTATGGTGTGGATGCTAAAGATTCCGGCCCGTTCCATGAGCCCCGTACCGGGGATCCTGTCCTGTCATCTCATACTCAGCATTCCGTGGCAGCAGCTGAGACGGAAATGTTTGAACTTCCTGGCGTGGCTGGAGTAGGCGGTCTGTGGCAGTCCGCGCTTCCTTGTCACCCTCCGTTTTGACCATCTGCCCGTCTGCCCGCCTCACTCCCTGTCGATTTGCTGCTGGAACCGGGCGAAGCTTTCACTAGCTTCGCGAGAGCTCGAAGCCAATCAACGCTGTCCCTTCTCTGATTGGCTGGTGGAAGCTAACTAGGACAGGGTGAAAGGCACGCACACGCGCCGGGGGTTAATAATCCCTGACACGGGCACGGACAGCACAACTTGCCTGGAGAGACCGCTTGTGGCGACTGCTTGCCAAGCGTTGTGCGCGCACTGCCTCATCAGCAAAGGTTGTCCAACCCCATCCGTCTTCCATGACTTCTGATTTGTGTTGTCAACCACACCATTCCGACTGGTCCAGGTCTCCACTCCGAACTGTCGCCATGACGACAGCTTCGAAAATCTTCATTTTGGTTTTCAGATGGAGGCCATGGTTGTTCCACACGAAGTTCTAAAGCCGGCCGAAGGCTTCACTGGCTTTCGAGATCCGGTGAGCCATTTCGTCGTTAATTTTTATGCAGTGCGAGAGTGTGCTGCTTAAGCACGCGAAGTCTTACACGGCCTTCAGTGCGATGTTGTTGACGGAGATGCAAGGAACACTGTAAGCAGTGTTGGGTGGTGGTTGGTGTATAGCCACCCTTCTGTCCGTGTTGATGGTCTGTCCGAAGTTGACACACCCGGCGACGAAAAGATCTTTGTTCCGTTACACGTCCTCTTCAGTCGAGGGCCGTAGTCGTGAAGAGACGCGTTGGGGTCTGCATGAGTCGGCTGCTGAGAAGATGCCCGCCTCAAATGGAGTCCATCGTTAACCTCTACCACCCACCCTATCTCCACGAGATCATCAGGGTCGTGCAGCAGCTCTTCAGCGGAAAAGCGGCCGGATCGGACGCGATCCATGCCAAGATCTACAACTACGGTAGCCCCCAACTCATGGATCATCTGACTGGGCTCTTCCAGGACATGTGGCATCAAGGCGAAGTCCTGCAGGATTTTAAAGACGCACACAATCGTGGACCTATACAAACGGAAAGGAAGCCGCCAGCTCTGCGAAAATCACCGAGGCATCTCCCTGCTGAACATCGCCGGGAGAATCTTCGCTCGAATTCTTCTCAAGCGTCTGAACAACCACCTAGAACAAGGTCCTCTGCCGAAAAGCCAGTGCGGCTTCTGCCGTCATCGTGAAACCACGGACATGATCTCTACAGTCCGCCAAATCCAGGAGAAGTGTCAGGAGATGCGGGTCTACCTGTACTCTACATTCGTGTATCTGATGAAAGCTTTCGACACGGTGAATCGTGACGGACTGTGGAAAATTATGCCGAAATTCGACTGTCCCGAACAATTCACTCAGATGGTGCGTCAGCTCCACGACGACATGACGGCACGCGTCACGGACAATGGAGTCTTATAAGAGGAGTTCGTAGTGACCAACGGAGTGAAGTAGGGCTGCGTTCTCGCGTCTACCCGCTCTAGTTTTATGTTCTCTGTCATGCTGATGGACGCCTACCGCGACGAACGCCCCGGGGTCCGCGTCGTGCACAGGACGGACGGCCACCTCCTCAATCAGCGATGGATGGTCTTGCAGTCGCGTGTATCCACAACCACCGCCCACGAACTTCTCTTTGTCGATGACTGCACCCTCAACACCACCTCAGGAGGAGACATGGAAAGGAGCAAGGATCTCTTCGCCGCCGCCTGTAACAACTTAGGCCTAATAATCAACACGAAGAAGAGGGTGGTTATGCACCAACCGCCACCCGACACTATCTACGTCAACGTGGACGGCGCTCAACTGCTAGTCGTGGGCAATTTCACATACCTGGGCAGTACCCTCTCCCGCGGAGAAGAAGTTGCCTGCCGCATTTTCAAAGCCAGCCAAACCTTCGACGGGCTGCAGAACACCTGCGCCGAGGCTCCAGACTATCTTGTCTTTACCTACCTGTTCATCGTGCTTGAACTTACTGTTTGTTTAACTGAATGGTAGGAACACAACACAACGCGACGTACTGGGCATCCGTTGGATCTTCAGGCCGTTTGAAATTCGATTATTAATTCTTTCATAACTCTGTCTTATCCTGATACCCATAGTCTGGGATTGGCATTCATGTCCTTAGCGCTCGCAACACACCATCTGGAACCGTAACGGCAGTCATCCTGCCGACGCTGCTGTATGGAGCGGAGACCTGGACGGTCTACAAGAAGCAGACGCGCAGGCTCAACCACTCCCACCTCAGCTGTCTTCGACGAATACAGAAGCTGAGGTGGCAGGATCGGATCCCGGAAACGGACGTACTGGAACGGACGGGAATTCTCAGCATCTGCACCATTCTGAGACAACTGCAGCTAAACTGGAGCGACCACTTCGTGAGGATGGGCAATGAGCGGCTACTAAATCGACTCATCTACGGCGATGTGGCGACGGGTACACGCCGACTAGGAGGACAAATCCGGCGATACAAGAATAGTTTGAAAACTCCCTGAAGCGTCTGCATATGAACCTGTCAAACTGGTAAGAACCTCGCCCGGGATCGACCTATGCGGAGGAGAACAGTGAAGACAGGTGCAGCAATCTTCGAAGCCAACCGCATCACCGCTGTCAAAGCCAAACTCGAGACACCAAATCTCAACTGTCACCGCCGCCTCGCAACACCAATGTCCAACCACCTCCAACGTGCCCACGATGTCGACGGACATTTCGGACGACAAGTGGACTTGGTGGACACCTTCGGACCATCTGCAGCACCCGGACTGCACCAACCGTCG